GAGACTGGCTGCCAGCACCCGTTGGCATTCAGTGCCCGCGGATCCAGAGAAGGACCCGGTGCAATTAGCTGAGCCTCGGCCACCCCCCCAAAATAGTGGGAGAGCCGTGACTGGGAACGGGGGTTCCCCGGAAGAGATGTGTTTGAATGCAAACATGCTTTCGTGTCTCTTCCTGCTTGCCCACCAAGGGGACACAGTGGAGACAGCTCGCTCCGACTGCGTCTGATCTACCCGGCCTGCCAGGAACGCAATTGCCCCGACAGTCCTTCGACCAAAGCCCTCAACTCGGAGGCAAACCCGGTGCCGTGCGAGGAAGGGTCCACAAAGAGACCCGCAACGGGCCCCATAGGAGGAAAGCCTGCAGGGGCACAGCCTCGCTGCAGCCGGTAAAATCGGGTAAACCACCACCTGAAAAAAACAGACTGTGAGGATGCCCTCCGATCAGCGGGGGAGACCGAGAAAAATATCGGTACCTCCACTGTCTGGCCTCTTACTCGACGTCCCGGTACATGAAGTACCGGTAGCCGAGCGTGAGGACTTTCCACTCATGCAAAACACACAACTCACTTTAACCGATTTGTTTACTGGACGCGCGACCTTGCTGTGACGCGGTCAGTCTCAGCGATTTTGATGGCTCTGAAAGAAAATCTCAGGCCTCAGAACTCCAGTGAAAAAAACACACTTTCACGCAAAAACCCCGAAACCCGCACGTAGCTACGACAAAGTATCTCAGATGCGGGTTCTATGCTGGTAAATTCTGAATATAACCACTGCACGATCGACTCGAAACACGAGGAGACCGGAAAGAAAACGGCAGCGAGCCCTGGTGCTGTCATTACACCTATATATTGCTAAATACCGGTACATTAAAAATAAAAGACGACATGCATGAGGGAAACGAATTACAGTTGTAAAAGGTGCCGCCATGAAATCAACATGTGACTACGTAGTGGCGCCGGATTTTGATTTCTTTGCTGTGAAAAATACAACACACAAAGGGGAAAACGACACGAGGGTAAAAATGACAAGGAAAACTTATCCTACCAGCTACCATGCCGGATGCCGAGCAGCGGCAACAACCCAAGCTTATAAATCCGGACAGGAAAAAAAACAAGCAGCCTATCGGCTGAGATAGCTCCGCTGTTAGCAATGCACATTTCAATTAAAGAACTGAAGACATCATTAGAAAATGAACAATATGAATAGTATCAAAGCAATCGGACTTACAGTTTTTAACAAGAAGTCGAAAATATCACTTTTTACCAAAAATTACAAAAATATTCACCAAAATTAGAGAATTGAAGATATCATCACAAAATGAACAAATCTGAGAGAGGTCCACATGTAGTACCTATATATGTAATATCAAAGCAATCGGACTTGC